AATAGAAGGATAAGTACCAAACTGGGACTGCATCACCAACAGATATTTCCTGAAAACCAAGCCCAAGTATTCCATCAAATTTTGCCAAGACAAAGGTAAGGCTTCCCTCTCGTGTAGCCTCAATGAAAACCTGCAAATGATAACCATGAAGTTACGCGGATGCATAAAAAGAGGAAGAAAAAAGAACAAAGGACTAGTTCTGCTATCAGAAAGACCAAAGTGAATAAAAAGAAAAGGTAAGTAAGGAATCTAACTTGATCTTTGACAACAACATCACCAACTCCAACATTGTCCTGGCTAAAATACCCAGAGATTGAACCAGAGCCATAACTGATCGAGCAAGGCTTTCCTGAATATTTAACGATTTAATTTATACGTTATCATTAGTAATAGCAGTGAGTCATAAAACGCTGCACGGCTCAGAAATTAAAATCCCATACCAATCTTTGTATATGTACTGGACTTGCCGGACTTGTACCTTGAATGGAAATAGCAAGCAATCTGGAAACGAGAAAACTCACTTGCTAAGCCGAACATCAGAAACATAAATGAACCTAACAAAGTCTATTAAATGAGAAATTACTCACTGAGAAGTAACATTTTCCAGAGGGGACCCACAGATTGGAACTGCCAGTGTCGAATATAACAGTGAATTTCTGAGGAGGTGAGCCAATACTAATCTCTCCATAATATTGCGCATCCAAGTAGTTCTTCAAGTAGACTATATCTCCATTTGAATCACTTAGTTTGAGTTGCCTGTTACCAACACCTAACCCGTTCTTCCCCTCCAATCGAGCTTGTTTGGCAGAATTAATGGTTGATTGGTCCAAAGGCCTCTTTTTCAGGCTAATTTTCCTTAGGCCATCAGTAGAAGGAAATAAGGAGCATATGACGGCCCAAAAACAGAAAGCCGCAAACAGACTGTGAAGCTTCATTATTTTAGGTTGCCTGTACAGGTAACATCATAAACAGTTGGATATAGCCAAGTAGGAGAGCAGACGGATTCTTGATAAAACTCTAGCATCAAATATGTGCATCCCTCCATACTATCAGTCTATTATCCAGCATAGTATTCATCAAAAGTAAACTTGATTATAAAAATTGGTCAAAAGGTAATCCTTCAACTGACCTTGATCGACCACTCTAACACATAAACACACACACACACCAAGAAAAAGACAAAAATAAAATAAAAAAAATTACTAGATAAACGGGCCGGAGAGAAACTACGCCAAAGCCCTGGACACCCTGCTTCACCTTCAACATATTTTCAGTTGGATTTGCGTCTCTTATTCTATTAATCTCATTCACTACAATCATTTTGAGTACAGAAGGCCAGAACATATCTACAGATAACAAAATTGGAATGAAGGACACTGAAGACAAAAATGAAGTAAATAAAAAATCTGACACCTCAAGTCTCAAACTTATCCATAAATATATAGAGCTTTCTCAAGGTAGCAGTCGATGACCAAGAAACTTACAGAAAAAAGATGATCAAGAAACTTACAGAAAAAAGATGATCAAGCAACTCAGTATAATCAAGAAAGATAGAGCCGAACTGATGTAGCAGAGCAGAACAAGTTATGTACAAGATTTTTTAGAGATTGGACTTTTGAGATGGCTAGCATACCATACACTACTACAGAGGTTAGATATTTCTTGGCCCGAATAAATCTATTTTGCTATTTTAATTTTTATGTGACGGGAAATGCCCGAAAACACGTTTCGTCATATGAGTGGTGAGATAAGAGCCATTTATATTTCGGCACGTGCGGGTAGGTTTTGAAATTTATGGGAGCAGAGCAATTTGGTACGGCATTTTTCCACCTTTCTCAAAGAAGCCCATTTATTGTATGGACTATTGTTGAAATTTCGAAGAAGTTTCCTTCATTTTTTCTTTATCCCGAGATAANCTTGATTAATTTTTAATTAATATCCAGATTATTGATTTTCAATAAAAAGTGATACACCAAAACGAATAACAGCATGACATTTCTATTTATTCATTCAAATACAATTTAAAATCTTTTCTATCCATATTATATTCACGTTATTATTTCATTACATATTTCTCCATTTATAGATAGGGGAAAAAAATTTTAACCTTCCAAACTATGTCGATATTTAGAGTTTGTCTTACGAACTTTTTTTCTTGACAATTTGCCTCACATAGTAATCGAAACTAAGAATTTGGCTCCTTGATGGAAAACCCTAATTTGGCACAAAAAGTTTTTAACTCAATTAACGATAAATTTTAAATTAATCTTTAAAATTGATTTAGGGTTTTTAAAGCCCATGGTGAGACGAACAAAATGATGTATGGTTTGTCGATTTCTGAAAATTGATACCTCTGTAATCGATCGACGAAGATAGTAGGAGTCCATATGTATAGAACAAATTTCAATTCAAGTTTTCTGATAATCAAGGTATCCAAGAAGGCTACCTTGAGAACCGTCAGACGACTTACTCCTCGAGGTTGACTTCATTTACCTCGAGGAGCTCTCCACTTCTCGAGTAGCTCCCCATTCCTCGAGGAGCTTCTTATTCCTCGAGGACGACTCTCCGCCCCTCGAGGTCGACTTCACCCACTTGGAAGAGGATCTAAGACAGTGATTCCATCTAGGATAACTCTAAGTCGATTTTTTATACTCAAGATCGACGTCTCGCGCCTCGCGGCTCGAGGCATGCAGTAAGTCTACTCCAATATTTGGCAAGCTTAACGGATAAGGAAGAATATTAAGAGAATAAGGTGGAACCTTCAGGTGACTCAGATCTGACTAAGAAGTGATTAGGATGTGAACAAAACCGGATACTTGGGGCGCACTACCCGGGGCATTTTGGGTAGGTATTTTCCCTATAAAAGGGACTGAGGTAACACTAAATCCTAACTTTTACATTCTCTACACATTTTTCATATATTGCTGTTGTTGTTGCTCCTCTCTGCAGAGCATCTTCTCTCTTGATACTGACTTAAGAATCGGAGGCTCTACGCTGGAAACCCCTCCGGCGTTGAGTTCTTGCAGGTGTTCGTGGCGATTTAGAAGCACTTCGGACAGATCGGAGCTCACTCAGTCGGTTTACTCCAGATCTAGGAGGAGACCTAATATATATATATATATGAAATTTGGGTTGTATAAGTTTGCAATTTGTTGTTAATCAGATTAACTAATTCTTGTATCGAAATTTAGATATTTGAGAAAATATCACCAATAATAAGGATAATTATTTTTATCAAGTGTTAAACCATTGGTACTCTTTTTATATTAAAATAGATATCACCTTAAACTATAGTTTATGTATATTATTTACACTTATTATATAATTATAAAAATATGATAATATATGTAAATTAGTATACATAAACTAATCTATACTCATAAATGTGTTATTTTTTGGATTAAGTCTGTACAAATAATTATTTTTTTGTTGTTTGAGTTATCCATATGAGATTTAATAAATTTATTTAATAGCCATGAATATTAGAGTGCAAGTTCCATGCATAATTATGTATAAACTTAATTATTTTACTTAAAAAAATAATTATACTCACCATTTTAATGATATATCATACTTTAAAATTTGACAAAATTTATTGCTAGATAATATATGTAATTTTGGANCCTACCTATTGCCCTGGCCCGCCCAGCCCTGCCCCGACCCGGTCTGGATGTTTTATATATTTATTTATATATATAATATATATGTATATAATTTATAAAGTATGTATTAAATCTATATATATATAATTGACGGCTAAACATTAAATAAAACCTATTTAATTATACCTACTTGGCATTTTCCGGGCAAATATCGTTACTTACCAGCATTAATTATTTTTTTTACACTGATAACATAATCTGGACACTAATAAGAACATAATACTTAATTGGTGAAAATCAGGATAATCCGGTTTTCAAAAAATGTTGACCAAACATCTTAAAAATTTTAATTGTCAGAATAATTTTAATTGGCTTTACTGATATAACCAAATATCTTAAAATTTAATAAATAATAATAATAATAATAATAATACTTTTTTTAAGATAATTAATAGGTTAGAATCTCTCAAATATATAAAAACTACATTATCCATTTTATTTTATGCAATCAATAAAGTTGAATACTTTTATAATGTTCATTTTTAATAATTTTTTTTTTAAAAATGTGATACTATTATTTGACTTATAATCTTAATATTATAAACATACATATAGCTTATGGTCTTTTAAATGCACCTGCAGCGAAGGGACTTATGTGGGCACATGTTAACATCACCAATGTGTACATGTCAGTGAACATATTAACATATGCCCACCGTGGGCAGCATTGTGTAGTAAATACGGGTTATACTAATTAAGGTTCAGCTGATAATCAATCCCGCCTCTCTTCTTCTCATCTTCTGTCTGTGAAATCCTTCGTTCGTGCGCCACTCGCCACTCCGGTCTCCCTCTCTCAAATTCACGGTATTCACCAACCGGTTAAGCCCACCACCACCAGGCAGTCGCCAGTCAGCCACCAGCCGCCGTCGGACTGTCCGCCTCGGCCCTCTGTCTTTGTGAAATCGCGCCTCCCCGTTTTTGAGACACAGACGCTCACTTCTCGCCGCTTCCGCCGCCTCGCCGCCTCGACGCCCCGCGGCCCCCGACGCTACTCCACTGCAGATTTTAAGGTAATTAGTAATTACTACATGTAAAAAAAAATAAAGATTGGGTTTTATCTTTGAAAAGGCTTATGATCTTATAGTTATGAGAAATGCTGAATTGATGGTGAAGCAGAGGATTTTTGGGTGTTTCTTTGTTGAATTTGTTCATTTACTTGGATTTGGATAATAAATTCATCTTAAGAAATCTTAGTTGCAATTGTGTGCTTTTAACTATTTATAAGCAAGTTACAAACTTTTGTGCTTTGGCTGTATTCAAAACATTCATACTGCAACCTAGTAATGACATCAAAACAAGTAAAGAACACAGCAAAATCTATCCAAGTAAACAACCCATGTTGTAGGCAAAAAAAGGGGCGGGCATTGCCATCCCTAGTCGCCATTGCAACTCATATAACTTGTACGTCAAACAGTTCCCAATTTACTGAAGAACCATCAGAAAATAGAGGACGAAAAATTCCGCCGCGCTAATTTTGTCTTGGGTGAGCAGTTTTATTATCAAACATGGTATAGAAGATCACTTTTTGTCCAATAGAACTAAAAATCTGCTGCTTGAATTATTTGGATTCAGCCCTTAGTGCTGATTTGAATTTTGTTTTTTATTATATGTTTCAGAAACGAGACTGTCAAAGGCTGAAGTGTATTGTGTTCTTTTTCTTGCTCACTCAAGCAGGAAGAACAAAAGATTAGCGGCTGTATGCTACTTTTGATTCGCCTGTTAAGTGTATGACAAAATGTCTCATACAACACTCATACACACACACACAAAAGGTCCCCTTGTGAGCTTTTGGATTTCTTCTGCTAGTGCATGTTATTTTCTACAATTTTTTTTTTTTTTTCAATTTATTAGTTAAGCTTTTAGGATGTTCAGTGTTTTTCTGAAGCTTTAATTCATTCACGATCATGCTTTTAAGGTTGAGCTAAAACCTAGTAATGTGATATCTATTAGATAAAAGGATTGACAGTACACCATTCCACCACCAAAATGTATTTAATAGGAAGAAAGAAGCGATTGAGGAAGGATAGTAGATAATGGCACTGAGGCGTATGCTCGGTTTTTCGGATGGCGAGTTGATGAGGTCAGATGCAAAACCGTGTTCACAACTGATGGGCCAAACTGCTGCCGTTTTCTCATTTGGTGGAGCACTCGGCTTTTGGGTCCTCTGCCGCCTGCATTATGGTACGTTATCTAATTTATTTACTTACACTCGATCCTACTTTTTGGTACATTAAAAATTATTTGAAGTGAATTTATATAGTTTTGATGTCGATGCTTAGGTCCTAGAATAACAAATCCCCGTAGTTTGAGGTGGGCTGCCTGTGGAGCTGTCTCTATGGGTACAACCACAGCTATGCTCGTTCGCTTGTTCAGTCCTGAATGTGAGCCCCAAAATATTGCTGCTTATGACCAAAATAAGTGATGTTGCTATTGGCATTCGTGCTCTCTCGAGGGCTGGCTTTCTTTTGAGAATCGGTTTTTTGAAACTCAGGACTGCAAAATGCATGGGATGTGTAATTTAATTATTTTTTTTCTTTGCCTTGTGAAACTCTTTGCTCGAGGATGCGCGGCTATTATGCTAAATACAGATCTCGTCGACTGAGTTGTATAATTTGTCAGAGGATTTTATCCTGTGTTTTTGCATAAGTTTTGCATTCAATATGTTATATTAGAGATTTGTTAGATCGTCATGAACTCATGATCAGTTGTCACATATAAACTCATGCAATTTTAGGCGTTCTAGTCACCTTATAATATTGATTCAACTTCTGCAAAACATCATTCTGGCAATTTACAGGGTAAAAAGCACAGCACATTAGCAAATTGTCAACTTAGAAAAAGATAAAATGATTACAACATTTATTGAAGCTCTCCATGAGAAAAAAAGGAAAAGAAAAAAGAAGGAAGAAAAACAGAAAAAAGGAAAAATAGCATATAAGTACAACATAAGATGTTCTAAGTTCTACCCAATCAAACATTGTCATGTATAACCATAAAATGAGTGACTTCACTTCCTGTAGGTGATCATTTACCAAAGTGCAAGTGATTAAGCAATAGAACTTTATTTTTCATGTGAGCACTTGTATGTCTTTACATCTGAAGCTGAATAAAAATAGATCAACTAAACACTCTTGATCTGACATGGGAGATT